TTCAATTTGTGAGAGTTTGGGTGAAGATATGTCTGGGTTTTGTTTTCTTCAGTGGGAGCTGGAGGTCAGACTGTCAGATGCATTATAGGTGTCCCTCGTCTCTCGTGATTATTCCCTGACGATCTCCGAGCAGATCGGGGGACGTTAAGATTGGATCTTTATTACGACTCACACTTCCTCACATTACTGTATTAAAGTTATTCTCTCAGAAGTTCTGATCAGACTCTCTTCACAGTTCCCTTTGTTTCAAAGGAAGTTGGTAAAAAAAAGCTTTTATGTTTTGTTCTCCTTCTGATTGGAATAAGTTACCTTTAAATCTCCGTTCCTCGTCATCGTTCCACTTATCAAACTGATTGTGTTTGTTTTCAGTAGCGTCAGCACTGTTTGTTTATTTCTCTCTGTATAGACTGAATCTCTCTCCTCTAAGGTGTCTAGTCTAGAGTTGTAATTGTTGTTTCTTATTGTTGAATCTGTTCTGTGTTGTCCCTTGTTTTGTTTTGTTTTGTTGTTGTTGTTTTCTGCTGTATGTATTACTTTGTTTGTTTCGTCTGTAGTGTGTTATGTTTTTTATGTTTTGTATTGCTGTGTTGTACCTGTGTCTTTGTAAATATATGTTTGGGACCCCCTTGAAAACGAGGTGATACACCTCAAGGGACTGATCCTAATATAATAATTTCTCACATTAAGCGATCGCTGTGGATTGTCCCGAGCGTTAGAAAGAGAATCTGCTACAGATTTTGTTGCATCGACCCAAAGGAAGTGACGTCCAGGCCAACATGTCTGTCCAACGCAACAGTATTATGAGTGTGTGTGTGTGTGTGTGTGTGTGTGTGTGTGTGTGTGTGTGTGTGTGTGTGTGTGTGTGTCGGTGTGAGTGGGCTCCGAGGAAGGCAACAGCAGCCTCTTGACGTTCAAAGAGAAGAGATCAAAGGAGAGCCTCTTTCTTCAGTCTCCTCTTCCTCAGGATTAAAAGACCATCAATAATAATGGAGCTGGAGCAGCGCAGTGGGCAAACTGGAGAGATCTCCCTCCATCGTGTGTGTGTGTGTGTGTGTGTGTGTGTGTGTGTGTGTGTGTGTGTGTGTGTGTGTGATGCAGGGGCGTCTTGCAGAAGAAAGCCATAGAAGTGCAGGCTGTTTTTTTTACATTCTGGAGAAGCTTCCTGAACCGTCCCCGTGAAACATCATGCAATATTCACCAGAACAACGTTCTCACTTCTCACTTGGGCTACCAGACTCTTTTCCCGTGAACTGAATGAATGCAAGTGTGTGTGTGTGTGTGTGTGTGTGTGTGTGTGTGTGTGTGTGTGTATGCGTGTGTGCACGTGAGCATCTGTACAGAAGCGTCTCTATCGTCGAGGAAAAACTGTAAAAAGCTGTGTGACTGTTTACCCGGCAAGAAGTCAGCGAGCCAATAGTAACGTCAGGATAAACGAGTTAAAAAGATGATTAATTAGTGAAATTTAGCGATTGTGGCGCTTAAACATTTGAATAGTTTAACAGCCCTGGTTCATATCTGTGATGGCAGAGAGAGAAAGAGAGAGTGTGGTTGTATAATACTTGTTGAAGTGTGTCCATAAGAGCTTCTTCTCTCATGAACGTTGTGTGTCTGCACTCTGAGTCGAGCACATCACCGCTAAGGATGCTACAGCACATCTCCATTATGTGTCCATGTTATGTTACATGTAAGACGGGAAGCTCCTATATCGCACCTTTTTGTACATTTTGTGTTTTTAATTTTTTATATTTTTAAATTCTATTTTATATACTGTAATATCTTCTTATTCTGTATTATTTAAGTTGTTGCTAGTTCTGCTTTGTTTCCTTGTTAATTGTTTAGCACCAATACACCAAGTCAAATTCCTTGTATGTGTAAATGTACTTGGCAATAAACCCAGATTCTGATTCTGATTCTGATAATGCTGGATATACTCCCATGTTGATCACTCGGCTGTCAGTCATTTCTGCACATTTTAACTGTTTTTTGTTGCAACATTCAGACTCTCTGAACTGAAAACACACTGAAGTCAGAAGTACGATTTCCCCAACTAGGAAACCCAGACCATCCAAGGAGCACCTGAACGCAGCATGATGTCTGTATTTAACTCCCTGACTGAACAGTGTGTAAAACTCAGAAAGCATTCATCATCAGATTTCCCGCATGACATGAACGTCGCTGTAGTGAACTTGTTAAAAAAAAAAAAAGCCAAATGAAGTCATACTGAGATATTTCCTTTTTTCTCCTGCTCTCCTCTTCAATCACAGCCTCTCCCCGAGGAGGACAGGAAAAGGGAGAGGTAGCTAATTAATTACAGTGACTGACGACTCGGCGGTGGTGGAGATCTAAGGAGGTGATGAATTGTGCTGTGGCACGACTATGACAGTAATCTGAAGAAATCCTCCTCCTACACTACCAAACCTGAGTGGAACTGCTCCACACAGATATAAGAGAATATCAGCTGAACCCACTCGGGGTGTCCTCGTCGCACCTCATTCTGAGACACAATGAGGCCAAAAGCAAATCAAGGGGCAGGGGTCACATGGAGTCACACTGAGCTGTGGGAGCAGGATAGAGAAATCCCCCTAAACTGGAAGCAGCAGCAGGACGGTATAGAGCAGGGTACTGCAGGTGGGCCGTGAAAAGCCCTCCACCAAGTATAAAAATAAAATAAATATCACAATAATGATGATTTACCATGAGTTAACCCTTTGAGTGATTAGTAAGGCGTGTCATGACTATTCAAGGACATAATGTTTAGTAAATTGGTGTCTATCTTGCCATAACATCATTTTGTCATGTCTAATAATTGACCCTTACTGAAAGTGATTATAAAAAACTTTTATTTTATAACGGGCCCCGGAGTAATTTTGTATATCAAAGTGGGCTGCGGCAGTTTAAAGTTTGGAAAGGCTCTTATAGAGCTTTCAGACCTGCAGAAACTCCTGAAAGAACTCAGTCTGAGCGTCATGTGTGAACACAAACAGCTGAATGTTTCTCTCAGACTTCACCTGAAGTTTCTCCTCCAGCCTCCTCGTATTTATTCTGCAGAAAGTCAGAGTGAGCTGATGTGAGAACGCAGCAGGATATAATCAGGAGAATTCACCTGGAGCCAGTGGGAGGAGCCAGTGGGAGGGGCCAGTGGGAGGGGGGGTGGTGACCTTTATTCCCTGTGATCGCTGCACGACCATAGACTGATCTAGATATTTTCAGGAGTGCAGATGACAGCACCATCTCTCCTCTGTGCACGGCCGCTCTTGACACGAGACCCCCAAATAAATATAAAATATCAAAAACTATCCACCAAAAGATTGGACTTGCCAAGATCATAAAAACTAATATCAAAGACTTCACTGAAGGCTCAACATCAGTTCATCCAAACTTAAAAACACTTAACGTTCGTCTGATGCAAAGAAAAGATTGAAGGATTATTTCTTTCAGTTTGTAGGAAAAATTAACCTCAAAGGAGATTCCAGCTCGTTTAGTGATTTGTACCGAAGAGTTCTTCAGTTTGTAAAGAAAATATCTGCTCACACAAAAAAACAGAAGGAAACATCCTCTTTCATTGAAGATCTTCTCATTACACGGTTTCACTTTCACTTCGACTTCATCCATTCATCATGTGACACACTCATTAAAACACCAAAAACACATACAAACACAAACACACACTCTGCTTCGTCCCTCTGTACCTGAGAGGGGTTTAAATCTTTTACATTATCAGTGAATTACTTCAAATCTAAAGAAATGACAGAGCGTGTGAGAGACACAAAGAAGAAGCTGTGAGGGAAATAAAACGAGACTCGAGGTGTAACGTGTGGAGCAGCAGTGTGTGTGTGTGTGTGTGTGTGTGTGTGTGTGTGTGTGTGTGTGTGTGTGTGTGAGTTAATCCCTGCAACTCTTGACCTGATGGATGCTCTTCATTAACTCTTCCTTCCTCAGGGGGGGAGAAAGGAGCTCAGATTGTCCCTCTCCTGATCTTTTTCAGTCTCCTTTTTTACAGATCAATAACCTCCAGCACACAAAAGCACAATCAACTGAACCCTCCTTAATCGTGTTGTTAACCCTGAACGCCAGCAGATGAGCGATGATGACACAAAGCACGATGATGCAACATCTTGTTTTTTTAAACTAATTTCCCAAAACTGGAAAAAGACTATAAATCAGCTGCAGAAAATATGAAACATCATTAGCTAAATGTTTGCTCAGAGTTAGATTTTAAACCCCTTTGAGCTGATTTAACCACCGATGTTCCAATTTGCAGTTAATGTGTTTAATTAGCTGAAGAAACATCGTGGGCTACGTTTGGAGACATGCCGTCTTTTTAGATTGGCGTACTTACAAGAAAAGATGAAGGAGGAGGATGTGTGCGTCAGGAGGCGGTGACTCAACGTGCACAATGTAAGGGGAATGACGTTTTTTGGATTTTGCAGTGGGGACAACACTGGATGCCAGCGCCGCTCAGCATCAATACTGCATGCAAGTGATGCTGGAAAAAGCCAAGTGCTCCAGACCAAAGAGGCAAACAAGGGGGCTAAAATAAGAGCGAGGCAGCCACTGAGCTTTACAGCTCCAATAAGCTCTGATGTGGTGGACACACACACACACACACACACACACACACACACACACACACACACACACACACACACACACACACACACACACAGTGCTTCATTCGTCATGTTGAATCTGAGGAGGAAAACTGGGTCAGATGGATAATGATGTGGAGGGTGTTTGGGTCTGAAAAGTGAAACTACTCCCCGGTCAGCAGACTAAAAAGGCAACGCTTCTCTTTATGAATTAAAAAAAAAATAAAAAAGAAAGAAAGAGAGAATTTGATTTGATGTTCTCTTGATCCAACGTCCAATCTTTGTGCCAAAATAAATCTCCCTGCAGTAACTGTAGCAGCTCTTTTTATTTTCCACATGGGCTCAACCCCTCATAGCGTATCTATAAAACATATTTCTATGCTCGCATATCAATTCATAATGCACTTTGAATTATGCACTTTCACACATGTTCTGCAGCGTGAGTGTGTGTGTGTGTGTGTGTGTGTGTGTGTGTGTGTGTGTGTGTTCCCACTGACCTGTGCTGCTCTGGATGGTCCTGACTGTGGTGGCGGTCCTCGGCGGCGAGCGGGTCCTCCTCTTGCCCGCGGCGACGCCCCCTTCCTCCTCGTCCTGCGAGCAGCCCTTCTCGATGGCGCGCACGTAGCTGTGGCTGCGCATGCGGAAGCAGCCGGGCACGGGCAGGTCGAGGGCGTCCACCGCCTGAGACTCCATCTCACTGAACACCGACTCACACACCGCCTCGATCTGCCCGTTCACCTCCACCTCGCTCACCTGCCGAGGAGGGGGACACACCGGACACACACAGAAATAAAACACACACACAGAAACAGAACACACGCACATAGACACAAAACACACACACAGAAACAGAACACACACATAGACACACACACACACACACACACACACACACACACACACACACACACACACACACACACACACACACACACACACACAAATGAAAAACACAGAAACAAAACACACAGAAATAAACACACACACAGAAACAAACACACACACAGACACAAACACACACACAGAAATAAAACACACACACACACACACACACACACACACACAGAAACAACACACAGAAATAAAACACACACACAGAATTAAAACACACACACAGAAACAAAACACACACAGACACAAAACACACACACAGAAACAAAACACACACACACAGAAATAAAACACACACACAGAAACAAAAAAAACACACAGAAA